ATTAGCCTATCCTAAACAAATTCAAAATGCTTTTACATTTTCAGAATTCAAAATATTTAATCATTTTGTACCGGACAAAATTGCACCGCTGGGAGGCTATCCTTTTACTACGTAGCGTAAAAGGAGTAATTCTAGTTATTATTTATATTATCATTATTAAAACAGTATTTTTATATTTAATTTATTTCTGCCCTGTAATGAAAAACCCACTCAACTTACACATTTTTCAAAATGTACTTTTTAGCTATTTGCTCTTTTCAGAACATGTGTATTCAGAATTTTGAAATTATAACTGAAAATATGAAATTCAAAATTAAAATATCACTCAACTTCAAGTCACAACTTTTCAATCGTACATAAGTGAAGCTGACGTACAGTGGCCCAATCCTATGTCGTAATTACGACATAAATATGTCGAAATTACGACATACGTATGTCGTAATTACGACTTATTATGGCGAAATTTCGACATAATATGTCGAAATTACGTTATACGTATTATTATGTCGTAATTTCGACATAATAAGCCTAAATTACGACATACGTATGTCGAAATTTCGACATCATAAGTCGTTATTGCGACTTACGTATGTGGAAATTTCGACATAATAAGTCGTAATTACGACATACGTATGTCGAAATTTCGACATAATAAGTCGTAATTACGACATAAAAATATATATTTCATTGGCCCTAATAGGCTTTCGTAAGTAAGGCACTGAAACCACTCTATATGTAAAAGTAGTTTCTATTTTGGTAATAAAAATCAAGCCTCAGCTTCAGGTACTGTAACCCGCCACAGCCCGCAAGCGACATGGGCTCTAAGCATAGTCGGCAGTCAGCGTGGGATTTGAACTTTCGACCACAATGGTACTATAAACGACAAGACAGAATCTGCTGCGGAAATCTCAAAAGATTTATTATAAATAATATTTACAGTCAGTTTTTGATATGAATGACTAAGCTATGCAATAATATAATTTATAGGCCAAAATAGATTGGCTTAGGTTCTGCGTACGGACTGTGTAATACTCTCATTTTTCATCACGTACCTCAAAAAGTATTTTACATCTACAGCAAATTTAACTGTATTTCGCCCAAAAATATGGTCAAACATTTTTTAAAACCTGTCATTTGCTGACACTATTAATGACCAGTAATAGCATATCAGGATATAGTTTAAATCTTAACAAAACATTCTTTTACCAAAAATCAGTTTTTAACCGCCATTTTGTAAAAGCCATTACGTAAGATTTTGATACGCTATTATATTGACAACAATGTATACGGAGAACTGCAATTATAGTTTTATATGAGACAAATCTATTTTTTATGCCTTTTTGTAAGATTCTGATATATTATTGAGCGGCGAGGTATAATACTGTATTGAGCGTATCAGTATTAATGTTAACAAATATATTTTGTGCCAAAAATCGTCTTTTTACCCTAAAATGGGCACAATTAGGATTTTTTAAACTGTTATGTCAAATTCTAATATTATTGATCAGTGAGGTATATGATATTGGATATTTTAACATGCAGAGCATATTAGTTATAATTTAAATGTCAGTAAATCTATATTTCTTTTTAAAAAAATCGTATTTTAGCCTAAAAAATGCCAAAAATTTGGATTTTTCTTAAAGATTATGACATGTTATCGACCATTCAGGTATATTATTGATTAGAATACTAAAGCATACCAGTTATAGTTTAAATGTCAAAAAATCTCATTTTTTAAACAAAAAAAAATCATGTTTTCCCTTTGGAAAATACCACACAGTGAACACAATGTGAAAAACTATGTGTTCACATAGTGTACATATACTGCACCACAGTGTGTGCACTGTATGTTCACAGTGTGTACACTGTGTTTACAGTGTGTACACTGTGAAAATAAGTCATTGAATATTATGAAATTGGTGAGGTTTTCACACTGTGAACTGTGTGAAACACAGTGTTTACACACAGTCACCACACAATAAACACAATGTCGTCATAGTGTAGCCACACAATTAACACACTGTCCGCATACAGTAAACACAGTGTTTCCATAGTGACACCAAACATAAACATAGTGTCACCACACAAATCTCCATATTGTCACTAAACACAGTGTCCCTATAGAGTAAACATAGTGTCACCCCACAATAAACCCAATGTGTTTACTCTGTTGACTATGTGAAATTGGTGAGGTTTCCACAGTAAACACATTGTTGTCATATCTTGCCAACATACAGCAAACACAGTGTTAACACATAATTGACTGTGTGCACATTCTCAAAGTTCTCACCTTCATTTTGCAAGGTACAACAAAAATAAAATATTAATCAGTTTTAAAATTAATAAAATAAACGTTTATTAAACTAACTTATAAGTACATATATAAGCACTGTCATAAGATTATTGCATAATATTCAGACGAATTATGTATGTGTTATAACATTTTTAAGTTAAAAACATACATTAGTCAAATGTATACAGTAACTGTTTCACACTAAAAGTATTGTTTTGCTTAAAATTAGTCAAGGATTTTAATAGTTGTTAAGTTAATGTAGCATTGAGTTTAAATTTTTTTAAATCGTTTTTATTGCATATAGACGAACAGTTACTTAGATGGTAAAGAAGGCTGCAGCTCATCTGTAGGATATGAAATAAACTTTTATAAAATTAAATTACAACACTTTGCTAAGTTACCTTTAGCAAAGATAATTACAATTACAATTTAAAATTAAAAAATTATTGCACATTAAGCGCCTGTTGTTAAACATTAGCTGCTGTATCCATTCCCTTTGACATGGAGCGCCTTGTATCTTCACATATTTTAGTCATCTTGGTTTTTACAGCTGCTGACTGGATATCTGGGTATTCTGAAATTATATAAAAATATATTGTCACAAAACTTCGGAAATATGAAAAGTAGGCCTATCTATCTAAATGAGAATTACATTTTTCTTATAAATTTCTAGGTTCGAGTAGAACTTTATATGCAGTAATAATTTTGAAATCGACATGTTCGCGAAAGACAACTAGATTCATAAATTGTGAACTTTAATTGCTAAACCCGGAGTACACCATGAGACTCATGTCATCATGACAACACAAACTCGAGTAGTGACATGTAATAGCAAGTACCACGCAACATATTACTGCAATAACAGTGGCCTGCTAGCTTCATTATTTTAATGGTGTTAATGTGGGACTGTAGGTTTCATTATTGCTGACAATACCGTATTCTAATGTTTAATGTGTAGATATGAAACACAAATTTACTTACTGTAATTGAATCGTGGATCAATGAGGTATACATAAACTTTTTAACGGTCTTAGGACAAATGTCAAATTTTGTTTACAACTGTTGAATAGTACATTGCTTGTATTTTTAGTAATTCAACATGGTAATATTAAGTCATTCTAAAATCAACGGTCGTAAAGCAGACAATTTACTATAATGCAATATACTTACTGTAATACATTTGCTGTTGTCTTAAATTAAAACACAAATGGATTATTTTAATCTCAAAAAATAAATAGAAAATTAACATACCAAATATTGCAGATACTGTATATTTTTTGTTTGTCATTGCAGCACATACCAGTCTACTTGCATGTTGGCTTTTTTTAAGCTGCATAATAGTCCTTTGAGACAAAATGTATCGAGTGCAACCTGAAAATGTTCTTAAATTAGTAAATGAATGTTTTTTATACCTAGTCTTTTAAATACAATGTATTTTGGCAGCTAAAAATACATAATACAAATACATACAATAACTGATTTTTATTATATACATTTTTAACTTCATATTTAAATAAAACAGAGTATTTTAAAACAAACCCTAATTTGCAAGTGGATTTATTATATTCGTAGTCTGTAAACTAAACAGATAAACTAACAATCAAGAAAATTAATCACACGAAAATCAAGATTGCCTTATGTCGAGTAATTTCGATCCAGGCCAGACTTTTAACGCTAAAAATGCAATTCATATAGCAAGGCATACATAGAATGTACAGTGCTAGCTAATATTTAGTAGGCATTTATGCTATATTACTAGGAATAGGCTAGTAGTACTGTTTTAGGAAGGCTAATCGAGCCTAAAACAACTTTAATTGTTGGTGCAAATAATATATATTTCAATTCTTACCAAATGAAGATAACATTTTATATTTTGTTTTTATACATTTAGACCTATGTTTAAACATACCAAAAGATTGAATCAAAAAAATTTATAATAAATAAATAAAAACGAATTAAAAAGCGTAATTGCCCGTCATAATCATTAATTCCACAATCGAGTTAACGGCCGTTTCAACCAGACCATTTAGGAGGTCAAGCCTAGGCCTAGGTCAAACGGTCGTAGCCTATAAGCTAGCCCGAGTTTTTCTGTTTATTTAAGTAGTGGGTGGGTTATGGATTGGAACACTATTGATTGTTAGTACCAGCAGCAGGCCTATCTATGAACAACATAGCTAAAATGAATATATTCAAATAAATAATAAGAAAAATGCAATTTCGAATTACCTATATAAATAGCAACGACAACACTTGAATACACTACGCCATTCAGCCATTTTTTCTTGGAGGGTTCTTGTTAACTTTGGGTCTCCATATCCTATATTCTATATTCTATATATCTCAATCTTTCGGTTGTCCTCGAACATTATTTTATCTGGAACCATTGAATCGTCCAGGATATTTGTCTCCGTCCAGTGGAGTAGAACCCACGCACATTAATTTAACGAATCCAATTTAACACAACGCTTGCTGTAATCGACGATGAAACAATGAATCCCCGCCTTTCTATTTTTACATTTTTAATATTTTTTTCTGCAATTTTATTCTCTATTTTTATGGGTCCTTTGTGCAATAATTTTTAAATGTAATTTTAATAATTTGATTTTATTATTAACTTCGATTTATGTATTTTCTTATTGTCAATTGTAATAATTTGTATTGTACTTGAATATTACTAATTTAAATATATATATTTTTATATATTACTAATTTAAATATATATATTTTTATTACTAATTTGTATATATTTTTTCAATGTTGTAATTTTTGAGCAATGACTATTCTCAATGTAATTTCCTTTTGGACAAAAAAATTTGAATTTGAATTTGAATTGAATTTGAAATATGATCTTCCCTCTTCCTCACACCATCTTGGTGCAACCAATGATCGGGCCAGACGAGCTGCATGTGACCTGATTTTCCAACGTCTCCACCATGACCCCCTGGGGTTTTACAAAGCATAGTGGCAAGACTGTGATCACTATGTGGTGATAATACGATTTTATCCTAGTGATACCAGGGAGATGTACAACTGAAAAACTATTTTTTACCCTGTTAATACTCTGATAAACTGCAAGGTAACTATAATATAGGCCTATATAATATAAATATTAAATATTACTATATTATAATATACATATATAGAGTAGGCATCAATGTGATTGCGAGCACGTATGTTCCTAGTAACTTAAATAATAATAGAGATATTGATAAAATGAAATGAAACGGTTGACGTATTGGAGGAACATAAGTATTTTATTGCACTCGAATATTTCGTCCTGTCCTCAGGACTTTCTCAACGTGAATGAACAAAAACATTACAAAGTAGATAAATCATGAGCTATGGAATAACAGTAAATAACAATGAAATAACAATAAG